CCACACCCACACCCTCACCCACACCCCACACCCCACACCCCACACCCCACACCCACCCTCAAGATATTCATTTATTTGCAGAAGAAATAAAAGATATCATAATACATCTTTTATCCATGTATCCGATGAGCTTTAAAGTTAAAAAATGATAGTTCTGATTCATTTTTTGATTAATTTAACCTCTTGGTTACCACTGTCTTCAGGTTGAAGACAAGCAGAACGAAAGAATTTTTTTTCGTTCTTTCGTATCGATAGACAGCTGATAAACACAGAGCCAATATAGAGAATCGTTCATATACGATAAACTAGATCGCGTGTATACAGCTGATTGACTATGACTGAACGCAAGAACTTGTCGGTATTCATGAGGTTAATCTTTTCAAAGTTCTTTTTTTATTCAAAGTTTATCAAAAATAAAGCAGCAATTGTTTTGATCTTCAAGTTTTGAATTCCATCCATTAATTCTTGGTAATCTATTTTAATAGATAATTTTAATTCTACTTAATGTTTGTTTCAAATCGGAATTCGAAGTGATAAAAGAAACGATTTGTGCTTTTTCATTGATATTCGATATTAGATATTCTCTACTCTATTGTTGTAATGCACCATTTCATAATTTTGAAATCTTTCACCACCCTTTAATCGAGGGCTTCGGAAGCAACAGTAGCATATTATCAGTCTGATGTCACCATTTGTCGTCATCACTCTATCATATCTTTGATCTTCATTTGTTGTTTTCTCTTTCATCGTTTTTCTCTCTCTATACATATATTGATGTATATGTTGTGAAAACACGATAAGAGTTATAACATAAAAGTGTGCATATACATCAGCACATGTGACACGTACTTAGGAAGAGAAACAGAAAATAAAATAAAATAAAATAAAAGAAAACATAACTCTAACACATATATACTATGTAATTGAGCAACAGCTTTGTTTTTCTTTCTCGAATCAAAAAGACACGTATATGTGTGGGTACACGCTGCATGCTGATATAAACGTTTGTAAATGTCATAGAATGAGGATCAAGAACAAGCTGAAACTTGTTGTGTTTTTTTCTTTTCTCTTCCATGCTTTACACTGCAAACAGTGCAGAATGCAAAGAAAAAAACAGAGGAAAAGATAATATTCCGTAAGCCAACATAGTATAAAAGCGGTAGTGCACTAACTATATAAGGTTATTTGTCTCTTCGAAACATAAACCGTTATCATCATTAGCCTTAAAATGTCTTCTCAAATGCTCGTTCCTGTCGGCTGGCTTATACATTTCATAACATGTCATTACATTATTCGTCGCATTCCTAACCAAATGGTTCGAATGATTTTAACGCTACTACCATGCGTATTACTTACCTACCTTAGTTGTCACGATCTTCCACAGTATCAGATGTCATCAATTATCACCATATCAACCTGTTGGATAGTGTCAATACGTATTATTCAATTGATAGTATTTTCACCGAATGAAAACTGTCCTTTCTATTCATTCTTTTTCAAACCATTCTGGACAATTTTTCCTGTCATTCCATCTGCAAAGGTTGAGAAACAGTGGCCAATAACTTTTGACTTTATTTCGGGACTACTGAAATTAATCATCACTCATTGGATTGTTCGATGGCTTATTCATTGTGAACCGGGCGATAATTATGCTAGGATAATCATGCTTTCTAGCATGATTTTAACAAGTTCGCACATTTCAGATATTCAAATAGGTTTCGTTAGACTTATCACTCGAGATAAATATACGCTTCTTTCAATCAGTAATTATCCACTATTTAGCAAATCATTACGTGAATTTTGGGGTCGACGTTACAATCGTTTAGCCGGTACCGTTTTCCGTGAATGCGTATTTCAACCTATTAATTCGTGTTTATCTTCGCCATTGATAGCAGCTATATCAACATTCGTCGTCAGTGGATTACTTCATGTACACATTAATCTTGTGATTTTAAATGACACACGAACCATCGTACCCACATTTGCTTTCTTCTTTTTGCATGGTGTTGCCTGTTGTATAGAAAAATACATCGCTATTCGGCTACCAGCATCTCTGGGATGGTTATTAACATATTGCTTTCTTCTTATGACGTTACCATTATGTACGATACCATATACTCGGCAAGGACCCGCCTTTTTCGAACAAAATCCTCCACCATTGTTCAATTCTGAATGGCTACCGAAGTTGCCGGTACCTGATACTTGTTTCTAAAAGAAAAAAATTCAAAATATAATTATAATAGTTTATAGTTTCTACAGCACAGCGAAATAGACTGTTTTAAACCTGTACTGTTTAGAAAAGTATTAATATTCGTATGATAAAATTCAAAGATTCACACATCAACCTTCTCGCATCAAATGTGTGCTAAATTAACAATACTAGTGTGTAAACATCAAAAACGCAATTAAATAAAGAAAAAAAAACATCTACTTATTGCTCAAGACGGTGCCTGGATGTGAGTGTGAGTGTGTTAGACACTTGAATAAGGTAGATTCGAAGCGAAATACGACAGTTTTTGTCCTTGCTTAAGCGAGTCATTAGGTATCTTCAGAATCTATTACTATATAAAACAACCAAGTGAACAATATTCTATTGAATATCTTGATTATTTCATATTAGAATACAAAAAATCCAGTCTTCCGCTAATAATCAGATTGCAATCTCTAAAAGTCCGAGTGATTGGTAACAATTATATATGAAAAAGTCAAAATAGTTAATGTTATAAGTAGTTCAGAATCGATCAAACCGCAAATAGGATGAAAAAGAACATTTAATGATAATACTCAAAACATGCACGAGTATATATTCATATCACGAGTTAGATGTTCTTTTTAATATGAGAGATGAACATAGATGAAATGAATGTTCAAAACTTTTCTAATAATTGCACGATATATTTTCAGACTACCATGGATGATCAACGCTGTTTTGATGCTTTTGATGGAGGACTTGATTCAGATGTAAGTTGTTAATGTTTTTTATTGATGAGTAATAAAAACATTTTTACTAAGTTTAAAGATAAAAAAAGTAAAGAAAACCGTGATCATGATAGCGTTCTGACTAAACCATGTATACACAATGAAGCTGAAAGTGATGTAACGTCATCACCATCAGAATATCGAGATGTTATTAATGTTTTACCTGATTATTCAATAATGACGGGACAATATAAGGCGAGTATTCATTCCAAACTGGTAGCACCAGAAGTTGATAAATCTGATCTTGATTACTTACATAAATTAATGATTCATAAAGATGATATTTGATGGATTAATGTATATGAAACACATCTATCAAAACTAAATAAAAACTGCGCTTTTATGTATCAAAATCATTATTTTTCGACTACTAAAATAATTAAGTCAACAATGAGTCAGCAGTTTTTAATGAGTACGAATGTAAAATGTAAATTTTCTGCGTGTACACGCTCGAGGATATGGGTGTGAGTAGGGATGCAACGGTGACGATAACCGTAGCTACGGTTATCGGTTTGAATTGGTGAAACGGTGACAGTTAACCGGTGAATGATTGTCACCGTTGCATCCATAGGTGTGAGTATAGCTGATGAATAGAAGACCATCACACACACACACACACCCTAATAGATTTAATGTTATTGATGACAAATAATTGATATTGAGCAAATATTTTTATCCATCAGTCGAAGAATAACCTACAAAAATAATTATTAATGATGGTATTAAATATAAAATAAAATAAAAAAAAGATAAAAGAGTTTCTCAATTTGTTGCATTTAGTTCATATGGCATCAATTGTGCTGGATCATGCTGGTGATAAAAAATTTTCGTAAAAATATAGCTTGGACTTGCCATGGTAAATTCGGTCGATTCATCATGGGTATACAAATGAAGATGTACTCGCAAATGAAAGTGTGGATACGTGGGTAGATGTAATTGTAGAGTCTTTTGTTGTTCGTTTCCACTCTAACCAAGGCACATAACTCACATCCTCGTTCTCTCTCAACATCAATCATTTATGATCTAATACTATTTTTCAATGAGATATTTTGCTATTTGTGCAAATTATCCATAAAAATTGCATAATCTCAAGAGTAAATATTCGAGGGTGTGGGTGTGAGTGTGGATAAAAAGAATACTTACACCTACATCCTCATGTTGTATAAGCTGAATAAATCTTCCGTCAGTGTTTGTGTTTGGTTGAACAAAACGACAGTAGTACTGAATAATCCAACATAAAAAAGCATAATTTGACTTTTGTGACGTATTACAATGATGAATCATATGTCGCAATTCATGAATTTTGTCGACTTCATTAAGAACTTGACTAACTCGTTTAAATTCTTCATGACATTCGAAAAGCGGCGTTGGTAGAATGAGAGTTCGACGAATATATTGAGCTTGTTGATCTCTAGGATGTTGAATAAATGGTTTGATCCAGATAATATTACGATTGGTGTAGAGCTCACGCATATTATTTAGATTCAATCCGGATATTTGTAGCAGTTGTTTAAAAATAAACAATTTCAAAGTTGAACAAAATGAGGTATTGATATTTGTCAGTAGTTGATCGATATTGAGAAGAACATTTTGTCGACTATCAACATTCAAAACAAATGTGTATATCTGAGTGTAATATTTGAGCCAAGCGAGCATTGAAATCATTTTAAAATTATCTACTTTTTCTATATTCTGAAATTCACGTAAATTCTGTTCGAAATGTATGTAGTACTCGGTTAGTTATTGATTGATTTCATCTTCTCGAGTATCTCGCATCAAGTACATAGGAAGTCTATTTACCAATAGTCGTTCTACTTTACATGTCACATTATTTACTGCTTCTAGACAATGATTAAACTGTTCATATTCTTTAGTCAATAGTAGATTTCCATGATTTTCTTTCAATGTTGAGAGTAAATCAAGTTTTCGATCAATATATGTGAAGGTTTTAGCTGAATAATACCACAGGTCATTATCATCTTTATTCATCAAAACCAAAATTTCACCATATGAATCACCGTTATCAGTTAACCGATCTGTCAAAAATTCGACTTCAAGTTTGATCAATATTCGATGAAGTACCGGCACAAGGCCATCGTGTTAATGGAGGTAAAAATCTTGCAAATCTCATCACTCAGAATATGATTGTATTGATGACCATTTATGTCGATATTATTATAGGCTGATAGCGGCGCGAGAATGGCATACTGAGATGAAAAAAAAGCGACGAGTAGACGTATTTTGACTATCTTGCACATATCATGGCATTGATAAGGTTTCATTTTTTGGCTACCATTGAGATTTAAAACATTCATTTTGACATTCTGCTATCATCTATCTGCCTATTATATTTATTATGTTGATGGATGTACGGACAGTAGGTTTCTTTATGTACATGAAATATTCATTAGTTTTTATCATTTTTTCTGTTTTTCCTTTTGAAAAAAACTTAAGTTTAACTAATTATAAAAATTCTTTGTCTATATGGTGCTTACGCTCACTAAACTCTTCTTAGACAATGCAAAGTAAATTCAATGTCGCAAATACCAAAAACCGATTCCAGCTGATTCTAAAAATAGTCAACAACAATTTCGAATATATTGTCTTTTAATTCTGGCAGATCGAGTAGTACAATTAGTTAAATTCCATTAGAAATAATATTTAATGCAAACAAACCACGAGAAAGTTTTGATGAGACAATTCTTTAATGATGTGAGGTATTGATTAATCGTTTAAAATTGTCATATGAAACGATAGTTTTTGACTTTAAGATTTCAGAACGAAGAATCTGATCAAAAGGTCTCAATCATAATTCAACAAGAATTTCATAACTTAAAAAGTAAATCCAACAATATGAACAACAATTAAATGATATCAAACATCGTTTAGAATCCATTCACGTAATAAAATTTCTTTTCTTTAGACATAAAATATTCAATTTGAATTAGTCATCTACCGATCCATCATCAAATAAAAATAATAACGATTTTGTTAATCAATCAAATACTTATTTACGCGTCAAGCTGGCACTATACGTAAAAAATAAAAGTTTAATAAAATGAATATTTTTTCTCTTCGAAAGTTATTTCTTCTCTCCTCAGCCTCACATATATATTTTTCTAGCAATGTCATGTCAATAGCAGTCACAAGAAACAGAATTCATTACCCGAATCAATAATATTTCAAGTAACAATAGAAGCTGCATCATCATCATCAACTACTGTCAGTTCACCATTAAACGTAAATTTCAAAATGGAAGAACTAAGACATGATTTTGTAAATGCAAAAAGGTCAATTATTTGTTCATAAATAAAAACTTTTGCTCACTAATCATTGTTTACAATAAATAAAAATGTACAAAATCCTATTCTTGTATATTTTTATTTTAGAATTGCTGCTTTCTAATGTCATATATATTCTACTTCTATTGCTAATAAATTTATCCATTTGTTAATTTCTACAATTTACATTTTATTTATTTAATAAAATTGTTGTTCATTAAATTATATTTCAACAGATGAAATATTTAAATTTCATGTAAATATCAAAGAATAACATATATCAGACGTACTGATTTCAATGGATTTACTCTTAGCATTTTGCTGCTTTTCGAAACTGAAGAATAATAAATATAAATGAAAAAATAAACTAGAATTTTGAAGAAAGTGTAACTAGTTTTTCATTTCGATATAGAAAACAAAATTTCGAAAATTTGTTTGTGAAGCATAATTCTTTTTAATCTATATAAAGTCAATATACTTGATCGATGCTATCTATTGTCGTTGTCATAGTAAGTTTTGAGCTAACAGAAAAATATATATTGATTTGAGCAAGGTCAAGAAATAAGAATCTTCCTAATTCACTTGTTAACAAATGATTTCTTTCTTTCAGATATCATGTGAAGCTAATGATGATAATTCTCATAGACAGGCATCAAATATTTAATCAATATCATCACTTAATAATATTCAACAATTAAGAAAACACATCTACGATAATTGAATATCAGTAAGTTTGTTTTTAAATTTTTACTGACGTTTTCAAATCTTTTTTTTTGAAATAAATATTATTTTATTATTTTATATATTAACTGGCAAATTACTTATAACAAAATCTAATAATTGAAGTGAATTGATTCGATGGATATTTGAAATTCATTCAACATTTGCAGTGAATGCTGGTGTAAGTTATTAACGAACAACAGAGGTATCGTTAAGAAGCAAAATCGTCTCCCCTATCGACATTCGACTTTATCTTTCCCATTTTTATCATTTTGATTGTTAGAAGAGGGTTGTGGGTGTGACTGAAGTTTTTGAAGAGTCAAAGATCCTCCCAGTCGCTCACACATAGTATCATCGCTTATCATATAAAGTGCTTCTTCACTACGAAAAATATAATGCTCGGATTGATTGAGTTAAATGTCTAAGCATATAAGCAATGACTTTAGAAATCGACTCAGAGAGAGAAAATGAACGATACAATTGAACAGACTATACGAACGCGAGCAAAGTGGTCGAAAAAAGACCAAATCATTATTGATCATAGATTCGAGAGTGATCCAATGTCATACTTCTAGACTTCGTTCTCTCAGACAATCCTCCTTCTGTCACACAGATGAATGAAGTGAAGACGTCATTGTTTATCACTAATTTCAGCAAAACATAAACGGTATGTTCATAAGTTTTTTATAACAATCAGAAAGAATCGACTTTTAATC